TGGTGTATTTAGTTCGTTCATATTTAGGCTAATAATTGAAATGCAAGAGTTGATCCCTGTCATAAGGTTCTTACAGAGTTGTTCCTGTTTATTTGTTGTCTTTCTTTGGGTTTTGGAGTTGGTTCATGTGTGTTTTTAATCTTTTGCCTGTACTCTTGTGAAGAATGCTCTTGTTCTTTTTTCTTTTTCTTCTGTGTTCAGTACTTTCTTAAGTGTTTCTTGTAGAGGTGGTCTGGTGGCAGCGTAGGTTCTTAGAGATTGGATATCTGGAAAAGATTTTAATTCTCCCTCACTAATGAAGCTTAGTTTGGCTGGGTAGGTTATTCTTGGTTGAAATTGTTTCTCTTTTAGAACTTTGAAGATAGGGCTCCAAGCTCTCCTGGCCTGAAGGGTTTCTGTGGATAAATCTGCTGCTATTCTAATTGGTTTTCCCTGGTAGGTAGTCTGGCCTTTTTCTCTTGCTGCCTTTAGGATTTTTCCTTTCATAGCTACTTTGTTTAGGCGAATTATTATGTGTCTGGGAGTTGGTCTTCTCGTTTGTTGTCTTGCAGGGGTTCTCTGAATCTCTTGTGTTTGAATTTTTTCATCCTTAATGAGATGAGGGAAGTTTTCTTGAATGATTTCATGAAATGTGTGTTCCAGTGTGGCTTCTGTTTCTCTTTCTGCCTCAGGAAGCCCAATTATTCTTAGGTTTGGTCTCTTGAAGTGATCATTCATGTCTTGCAGGTTTTGTTCTGTCTTTTTGAGCTTCTTTTCTATGCTTTTGACAGTTTGGGTTAGTTCTGTGTTTTGGTCTTCGAGCTCTTAGATTCTTTCTTCTGCTTGGCTGATTCTGCTTTCCATGCTTATTAGTCTGTTGTTCATTTCCATCGCAGTATTCTTTACTGCTGTCATTTCTGACAACAGCTCCTTCCTATTTTCTTCTTGTCTCTCCTCAATTTTTAAAATTCTCTCCATTAATGTCTTGATGGCTGGGTTTATTGCATGTAACCAGTCATTCTGGGGACTCTTCATTGTCTGTGTTCCAGAATCTGTTTTCTCAGTGTCTGATTTCCCAGGGGTCTGTGTAAGACCTATATTCTTCTTTTGGTTTTTCTTCATTTGTGCGATTTTTTCCCACTCTCTACTTTTTCCTTCCCTCCACGTCACCGTCTTCTTTAATTCTGTTATTCAGGGGTAAAGGGATTGGTTTTACTTCTGTTTGTTCAATCTCCTATTCTTTATGTATGTCCTCTTACTTTGTTCAATTCTGAAGTTGCACTGTAGGTTGGAGGTGGTCCTTTTTGCAGTTTTGAGATGTATTTAAGGGGAGAGCTGTGATTCAAAATCTGTCTGCAGGTCCTGGTATTCGCTGACAGGCGTGTGGATAATGTGGAACCCACTCCCCACTGCCCTGGAATCTGTCCGTGCAGTGGGGCTGTAGGTTTACTCCCTGAAATAAAATGTGGTTAGCAGAGGGGAGAGTATGGAGCAGATAGTGGGTTGAAGAGGGGAGTGGAGAGATAGAGGAGTAAGGGGGGAAACAAACGAGTGTGCCAACAAATAGAGAGAGAGGCCTATACTGAAACAGATAAAAACAATAGACCACAGCTACAGTTGAACCAACTCTCATACAAAAATAAAACATATAGTGATGCTAACATACTAGCTATCCAACCACTTTATTAGTGTGCTGTTCCTCTATACAAAGACATGGTTTACAGACCGAAAATAAGAGAAGAAAAGGGAAAGGAAAAGAGAAAAAAGGGAACAATACAGTAGGGATAGAATTAAGTCATTAGACTAATAGAATCAATGAAGCACACTCTGAAACATTTCGTTTAAGTCCAAGGTCCTTTTAGGTCTGATTTCTAAGTTCTTTTTCAAGCTGGTAAATTAGTTTGCAGTTAGGGTCAGTTCCCCTGATCTGCTGTGAAGGACAGTTCAGATTAACCTTCCTTCAGCAGTGTGGTCTGTCTTTATCAAGCTTGTTTCTCCCGTTTCAGTGTTGTTACCTTGAATCGCCAGCAGGTGGTGCTATCTCATCTACTCGTCCCAGAGGGGGTGGGGCCGGACAGGAACAAGATGGCTGCCTGCCTCCAAGCAGGCAACAGGAGCCCCACGCCGGGGGGCAGCACAGTCTCGGACGCAGGATAGGTGGCAGCGATCCCAGCAGATCTTCCCTGAAGCGGTTTGTTGTGAATCTCCTCGGGCCGGTGGTGTGATGTGTTACCCCTCCCAGAGGCCGCAGTGGCGGCGGCGACGGCGGTGGGGGGAGGCGCTGCAGCAGCGGCGGCGGGACTGTTTGTAATGCAGTAAAACTGTCCAGTCGTTGTGATGGCAACGGCCGAGCTCTATCTGAAGAGCAGGCTGCGATACTGGGGTCCCCAGCCGCCCGGGTCGAGAGTCAGAGACCCACTGCAGATCTCCCTTGCAGAGGGCTTCAGATGCCAGGTTGCCCCGTCGCCATCTTGCCACATCTCCCTTTTTCTACTTTTTAACCACAGTAAGGCAAAGCCAACAACACTGTACATTTGCTGGTGGGGAGGGCTGGTAAAGCCAACAAGCATGCTCTGAACTTCTTTCTTAGCATTAGCATTCTCTTTTCTTAGTTATTCAGTATAACCCCAAGATGCCAATAATCACAACAATATTATGTCTGCCAAATCTCAAGTTATCACAACTTTTTCATAATCATATACCTAGAATGTTGTTTGCAGTAGTTTATTCAAGAATATTTGAAACAGACTTTCTTCCCCAATAGGTAGTTACTAGGTAAAATCTGTATTAAATTAGTTTTTGCTACCAAATATATTTTAGGTAAATTCAAAATAAAACAAAACACAATTGTGTAAGAATTTAATGTGTAAACCAATACAGAAGAATAAACATAGCAACCAAACAGTTTTGCTTATCATAGCAATTTAAAGACACTTCAAATACTTTTTAATATATAAGAGGCTATCTCTGCAAAATAACATTTAGCTTCCTATGGAATAACTTCACAGTCTCAGGTTTCAAGTCAGAAAAAAAACAAGATTCATGCTGATAGAGCAACCTGCAAGTCCTGCCTTTAAAATTCTAAAAGATCTTCCTTTGGGTGAGGTGATGCACTTAAAGGAGATGCCTGGGGCCTCCCAGAGTCAGTCCTTGTGCAAAGGGTCTACCCTACTGTCTGCAGGACATTCAAAGCTAGGAAAAGAAACACCTTCACCTTCAGGGTATCTACCTGATTCTAGTGGTTATCTACAGATTTGTCATAAAGCACAAAAACAATAGCAGAGATAAGATTCCTACAAACAACTAAATGGCATTTGGTTCTGGTACCAACGAGGTGAGGGAATAAAACCTCTCTGTTAATTATGAATCCCAAATAACAACTTTACATAAGGTTCTATTCTAAGGATAGTAGATTGCTTCTTGAAGTAGACTTACTCACGTTTTCCATTTAGAATCTGAACAATTTTTGAGAAGTTCCTTAAAGTAATTCATATGATCAACACAGGACTAAACTAATAAGATGGGCCCCAAACCCATCGTGAATTGTTTGAGGAAGTATTGCCATTGAAATTGATCTTTTTCCTGAGAAAGTTAAGTTGCAAAATGGCACAAGACAATTCAAATTTTCTCCAACTTTCCCCATGATTATAAGATGGGAAAATCAGATTATAATATACTTTGCAAGGAAAATAGGTTTGTTTCTTAGAATTGGGTTTTCAGTTACTTTTTGAACTATGGTTTTTTAGAGAGTGAGAACCAAATTTTTAAAATACGTGATCTTTAAGGTAAGAGAATAAATATATGTGGTACATTTTGGTTGGTGTCTAAACAATTTTTATAGGCAGTTGTTTCCAAATGGAGAAACTAAGGCACAGAAACAAGCTCAGTTTGAAGGTCTAATTTAATAGCCTAGGTAGAAATTGAATCTAGGGCTGTGATTCTCATGTTAGAGGGTAATAAGGGACATTTTCTCAAAGTGGAAAAACATTTATTTCTTTTGGTGAGTAATATTAAATCATTTTTTATATATGTAATACCAATTTCCTTGAAAGTCTTTGGCATTTGTGAGACCCTTTGTAGGCTGGGGTTTTTAGTTATTTCCCCCCCTCAATATAAAAAGGCAGGGGAGCTAGCTTTAAAGTTAAACAAAAGGATTGATCTTAATTTCAAAATGACCTGAGTTCATTTGCATTTTTATATAATTCAATTATACAGCTTATGAGTGCTCTGAAATGTAACAGAGGCCACCACACCTCACAGAGTTCACATACGTGTATTCTGTGGTAATATTTATATGACCAGAACTTATTACACACTTACGTAACATACAAAAATAAGATGGCTCAGTCTAATTTTTCCTAAATCCAACTATCCAAAGAGGATAATCTTATTACAGTGGGAGGACTAAAATTGATAAACTGCATGGTATTAGGTTGGCCCCAAATCCAATATTTAAAATATTTGTCCCCCGTGAAAGTTACTTTGTACTGGCTAAGATTTGAGCTGTGAAATTGATATAGTTCAGATTGGCATTTTTCCCTGTGTATGTGTTTTCCACCAGAAAATATCACAGGTTTGTTTGCGCTTGTAAGAGCTCAGGTAGGTTTATGTAGTCATAATTTAGTGGCAGAGAACATACCATGTAAAACTACAAAATAAAACTATTTTCAAGTTTCTTTGTTTTTAAAGTGCTCTATGTGCTGTATTATATAACAACTTTCAGATTATAGAAATCCATGATAACTAGTAATATTTTTGCAAAAGATCAGCAGTGAAGCAAGAATGATTTCTTTGAGTATGAATACATAGATTAGGAGATGCAAAAATTCTTTAGGCACATTCAAGTCCAAATAATATTACAAAATCTACTACGATACAGGAGAAGGAGGGCAGAAGCATTCAGAAGGAATGTCGGTGTCAGAGACCAGTCTGGAAGGTAACTAGAATGTAAACTCAAAGTGGCTCTGAATATTTTGGTAACAAATGTTTGTCCAAAAAGCAAGAACAAAAATACTCATTATCAGAAATAAAACAGAAACAAGTCTGTCCAAATGCTCGGAAGCTGCTTATCGAAAGATTCTGTGTGTGGCATTTCATGCCTAGTAGGTAGCTTCATCCATGTTGTCGTCACTGTCTACACCAAAATCATCTCCATCTTCAAAGTATGAATTGATGTAGTCGTTTTCCTAAGTGAAATGATATATTCCTCCGTAAATGTTAAAATGAATGAGTGGTAAGAAAATATATCAGGCTTAAAAGAAAAGTCTCTGTTTTTCTATCTGCTGAAAATACAGGCTAGCTTTCACTCATGACTACCTGTGCCACTTTCTTCCTCAAGGTCATCCATACCTCCTACTACTCGAAGGTACCAGCTAGCTGAGAACGTGAAGGGTCGGATACTCCATCCTAGCAGGGTGCTATGATACATCCACTACCTATTCTACCAGTGGACGATACATGGTTTAGTTAGCTAATCTACTGAACACTTGGCCTGCCAAATGCCCAGACACACCAGAAACAAAGCCAGCTGACATTCATGTTCACGAGACTACACCAGAACTTGGTTTTCAGTCACAGAGTGTAACTGAGCATAGCAGAGGGACTTTTGTTTCCTATCAAAAAAAAAAAAGCCTCAAGATACCAAATCAAATCCAAACACATATGGCAGTCTGGCTAGGTCCCTCAGTTTCCTTTTCTCATGGCTAAGACTATCTGCGTAAATGACTCAGAAAATATTTGTGCTTCCTATCAAAAATTCAAAAAGCCATTTGTTATTTATTTTTCTGGACCTCCAGTATCTTGGAATCAAAAATTCATTTTGGAGATACATTTTTCTATAGAGATGGGGTCTCGTTATGTTGCCCAGGCTGGTCTCAAACTGCTGGCCTGAAGTGATCCTCCGGACTTGGCCTCCCCAAATGCTGGGATTATAGGCCTGAGTCACTGTTCTCAGCCGAGCTTTGTTTCCCTCCCCCAAATGCACCATTACCTCTTCTTGCTCTTCTTCGTCATATTCTTCCTGTTCTGCAGCTTCATCACCGTCATCATCATCGCCTTCTTTATTTTTCTCTTTGCTTCCTTCTTTCTCTTCATTTTCCTCATCTGATTTTTCACCATCACCCCTCTTTTCCAATTCCTGGTGTAAGTAAGTGAGTGTCATTCATTTATATGGAAACCACTAGAGAGCCAAGCTCCCTGCCCTCCGTAAACGAACAGCTACTTATCTCCTTATTCTAATTCCGCCTCCCTCCCTCCAGGCCACCACCTAGGAAACTTGAGTCAATTCAAGAAAGCAGGAACTCACTGTCTTATCATCACTATCATTGTCTTTGATTGTGTTACTTAATAATTGAGTCTCAGAGAATTCTAGGGACACCTGCTCTGATGCACAATGCTTTATAATTTCTATCCTACCTCCTTGTAAAATATTAGAGGTGATTTAGTTTAGGGAGAACTTTCAGAATGTTATTTTGTTCTCCTTCTAGCATAAAAGGAGAAAAAAATATAATGGTAATATTTCTAAATGTCTGTGTTTTAGTTTATAAGTGGGATCGTTTAAAACTATCAAGTCATCCTGGGATAAATCCTAGTTGCAGATTATCCATGTCTTTATCTCTTCTCTCCCTCATTATTTACTTTCCATTCCCAAGAATTTTTACTTCTTAATATAGCTGGCAGGTTGGGAAGAAAGAGAGAAATTAAAATTCAAATCCCAGTCACACTAGCAATTATCAGAAACCCTGAAACAGGAGGCAAAGCCCTAAGAGAGATGCAGAGTTAAAAAGCCTTGATTCTCTGATGGTCCACTGATCTACCCTGTTAAAATTATTATGATACCTTCTCACAGCACACAAATTCAACTTTAAAATTATTATATTTATATTATGACTACCAATTTTTTATTTGATAAGAAGTGATCTATTTTCATTACTGTCACAATCTGTTCACTAAATTGTACTATGCTCAATTTGCATAAATGATAGAATTTCACAAGTTTTCTAGGAAGTAGGTAACAGCAATAATCTCACATTATCAATATCCATAATTAAGGCTTAAGATCACTTCTGCTAAGATGCGATTATTCCTAAATGGTAATCAGAATACTCATTCAAGAATCTGCAAATACTCCATATCTATTATAAGATATTCACTTTGTATATTACATATGAAGAGAAAACATTTTATATCTGGAATGACTACAACTTAGCTATTTCTTTTTGGTTCTTAAATGTTCATCTTTAAAAATGCTTTCAATTACATTCAAATTTGAACTTAAGGAACTCAAAGGCAATAGAGAGACTACATCGGATAAGACTCCATTTCTAATCAAAATTCAAACTCCATCATTCTTGTCTGTTAACCCACTCAACCAGAACACACAAAACCAAGGTAATAGACATTAGATGATTCATCTTGATAATGATCCTTAGGTTGCCTTATATGACTTATTACTATAATATATGCAATTTTTCCAACTGGCAACCCCTTTGGAAAACTGCAAGTAAAATAAAATGGTATTGACAGATCTTTTGAGGTGTCTATAATAAGACACACATACATATATGATGCTATGTTAATATTAATAGATGATACTTTTTCATTTCTATTTTAATCAAATCATTGTAAAAAGACCTGCAGCTCACAAGTTTGTTAGTTAAAAGAGAATTGTGTGTTATAGCTACTCTAAGCAAGGTATACACTATATCTGAAAAATCATGCTATTATTTCATAAATAACAGAATTATTTAAGCCAGTTTTGTAAAAATACTTGTTCTGTATTTTTTACATACAGAACCCATTCAGTGCTACATAAGGACTAGGAAGTATACATTTCCATTATTGACAACTCAATTATCTTTGAATAAATTTCTTAACCCCATCTTTATTTCTACCTCATAGGCCTAAATCAAACCCATAAAATACTTAAATAGGTTAAGAAATAGCAGATTTATGCAACTTTCTTTTTAAAATGGTCTCTGAGCCACACACATGGATTGTCTCATCACTTTATTCCTGGCGTTAAGCTACTAATTTCAGTTCTTTCTTCCACTTAGTGGTCTCCATTCCCTCCTCTCTGAGATTTAACTACTTAACCTTAATACTATACAGGCTTGTTTTAAAAATTAAATGTGGTGGCTCAGCCTGTAATCCCAGCACTTTGGGAGGCACAGGCGAGTGGATTGGCTGAGCTCGCAGGTTCAAGACCAGCCTGGGCAATTTGGCAAGACCTAGTCTCTATAATAAATCAAAAATTAGCTGGGCATGATAGTGCAGGCCTGTAGTTCTGGCTACTTGAAAGGCTGAGGCGGAAGGATCTCTGGGGCCCAGCAGGTCGACGCTGGGGTAGCTGTGAGCGTACCACTACACTCTAGCCTGGGCAACAAGAGTGACACTCCAACTCAAAAACAAAGAATGAAACGAATAATATAAAGACACCTTGAAAATAGTTCATTCGTGGACAAGGAACAGTTCCTCTAGTTTAAGCATTATACAGCCTCCATGTGGCACCTCCTGCATGTCATGCAGAAATAAAAAGGTCAGGAAATGTGACTGCATGTCACTCCCTCTCCAGCCACAGATGTTCTGCTATAATAAAACTTGTGGCCGGGCACAGTGGCTCATGCCCGTGATCCCAGAACTTTGGGAGGCAGAGAGGAGAGAATTGCCTGAGCCCAGGGATTTGAGACCAGTGTGGGTAACTTGGCAAGACCTTGTCTCTACGATTAAAAAGAAAAAAAAAAAATTAGCTGAGCATGGTGGTGTGTGCCTGTGGTTCCAGCTACTTGGAAGGCTGAGGTGGTAGGATCGCCTGAGCCCAGTAGGTCGAGGCTGCGGTGGCTGTGAGTGTGCCACTGTACTCCAGCCTGGGTGACAGAGTGAGACTCCAACTCAAAAAACGGAAAACACAAAACTTGCAACTGCTTTTGCTGAATAAATGAACAATGACAAAGCCATCTGGAAACAACTTTTCTCTATTAAAACTGCTAACTCATTGGCAGTTCTTGATTTTAAATGATTTAACATTGTTGTTCCTGCAAAAGGTGTTCAAATGTAGAGAGTAAGGAAACACAGTTTGTTCTGAGGAGAAGCCACACCCACAGCTCCAGACCCATCTTCCTTATGGCACACATCATCTTAGCAACTTATTTATTTATTTATTTGTTTGTTTGATTGTTGGTTTATTTATTTTTGATTTGGGGTCTCACCCTGTCACCCAAGCTGGAGTACAATGGCACAGTCACAGCTTACTGCACCCTCAACCTCCTGGGCTCAGGCGATCCTGCCTTAGCCTCCAAAGTAGCTGTGACTACAGGCACATGGCACCACACCCAGATAATTTTTAAAAATTTTTTGTAGAGATGAGGTCTCACTATATTGCCCAGACTGGTCTTGAACTCCTGGGCTCAAGCAGTCCTCCTGCCTTGGCCTCCCATAGTGCTGGAATTCCAGGCATGAGCCACTGTGCTTGGCCTTCATCTTAGCAACTTTTCACTAGGAAACTTTAAGAATAGCCAGAACCTGTTTCAATTAAAACAAGTTGGCCAGTCCTGCAATCCCTTCATTCAATCACAGTTAAGTCTGAAAGTTATCACTATTCCAATAATCCTCTGGCTTTATTTTTCAGATGTGTTGTCTTTATCTCAAGTACTGGTCAAAAACAAAATAATAATAATAACAAAAGTATGAGTTTCTGCCACCAACTAGCTACGCCAGCTTGGCAAGTGAAAGTTTGAAGCCTTGACTTCCTCATCTGTAAGTAAGGAATAATACCCATCCCCCTTTGTTGTTATGAAATCAGTGTATGTAAAGAGCCCATCAATGAGTCTGGCACAGAATAAGTTCTCAGTAGGGGTTACCTGCCATCATCAATGCAAGATAACACATGCACTGAGAATGGGGGCAAATTAGTATAACCTCTTTGGAGAGCTGTGTAACAATTGTTATCTATTTTATATGGTGCATATAACACCTAACCCAACAAATACTTCTAGAAATCTACCCTACATATGTAAAATGGCATACTTAATATGAATTCATTGCAGCATTGTTTATGACAGCAAAACACTAGATAAAGCAATATGTTCACTGGTAGGGCATTAATTAAACAAATTATAGTTCATTCTTACAGTGTATCCAAAAAAAGAATGAGGTAACTATACACAGACTGATATGAAACCATCTCCAAGATATTTTGTGAAGTGATAAAATGAGAATGCAGAAGTGTAATATGCTACCTTTCAGCATTTCAAAGAAGAAAAATCAATATTTGCTATACATGAAATATTTCAGAAAGGATACATAAGAAACTGGTAACATTAGTTGCCTAACGGAAGGGAAATGGATGACCGGGGACAGGAAGGGAGGAAACATTTTCAGTGTCTTAACCTTCTAAAGTTTGCATCTTGTTTATTTTTGAAATATTTAATTAAAGAAAGCTACAAAAATCAGTTCCACAAGATAAAGTTTTCCCATAGTCTTCTATACTTAACATACGACACAGAGGAAAAGAAAAAGCATTAACAAAGTACGTATACACCAACAGGAAGAAAAATGAGAGGCAGCTCTTTTTAAAGAGTTATGCAAAAGAGGTAGGCAACTGTTTCGTTTCTTTCCCCTGGCATAATTCCAACAGGAGGGGAGGATGGGGAGACAGTGGGAAAGAAAGGGGTGACAGAAGGTAGACCGACTTACCAGGTGACTGGTGAGGAAGGACAGGCTGGGATCTCCACACCGCCCAGCTCACAAAGCTCTATCCTTCCCCGTGGCCTTACAAGCTGAGACCACTTCTACCATGTCCACATGTTTTTAACAATAAGAACATGGAAATAAGAAGGCAAAAGGAGGAATGACCTTTCCCATTTTTTAGAGTAAGAAGAAAACCTTACCTCAATTTTTTTCAACACATCTGCAGTCTGAGTGAGTGAACTGCCTTTGCCTGTCTCTTTTGCCTTTTTGGGTTTGGGGCCTGCTGAGGTAAAACTATCAGTTAACACGTCTTTCTATGACCGCAACTGTGTATTAATGTCCCTGCCCTTACATATGCTGTCTAGCACAGTGGTACGTCACACAATCTTCAGAGTGAATTTTCTCAAAGAATAGGCAAAGTAAATCATTGCGCCTCATCAATTTTCTAACAATAAGGCAAAAATGGTAATCACTTAATGGGATGACTTTTAAGCCTGCAACCAGATATATTCTTACTAGCACTGAAAATGCGCACTGGCAATATCATTGGGACCAAAATTGCCAAAATTGTTCGCTCAGGTAGAAGCATTAGAGTCCAGTGAAAAGCTCCCACAAATCTATCCACACTGGCTTCTTGTTCACTGATGAGTACACTTCATTATAATCAAAGCAATTTTACCAAAGTTTGGGGAGTAAAAAGGAAGTACAGAATAAATATGCATTTGCCAATGGTGAGATGACCATGTAGCAGAGAACTGTCTTTGGGATAAAGATGAAAATAGTTAAAAGGAACACACCCATCATATGAATCTGACAACTCAACGCATAGAAATAAATGTTTCAATGGCTTTGGGAAACAAAGTGTTTTTGCTCCTATCAAAAATATTGCATTTTGAGGCTATTCTGAACCTGCAGGATCTAGAGAATTATTTCACATATAGATTCTGCTAGTCAGTTACCAAAGCATTAGGACTGGCTACAAAATTGTTCCATTATGATCAGAAAATATTATGGTTCTTTTCCAAAATCAAACTAAATACCTACGTATTACTTGGTAAGAGGAAAACATGGCTCAGGAAGAGGTAATTTTGTTAAAGATTAACATTTAACCTACAGAGGAAGAAATTTTTAGATTATAGTGGATAACCCATAATTGATGGAATTACAATTTGCTGTGTTATACGAAATTGGCCCTTGGGGAGTCACTGAGCCCAGAACTCCCAAACATATACATTAGGAAGGTTTTGCTCAAACAAAAGTAACTGTGGGATTTAATGATGGGTAACTTTCTCTGAACCCCTAGAGGGCAAAGACTGCAGACTGCTTAATATGAACTGTGGTACATAAAACGTACCATCGTATATGAATAAAAGCTCAATAAATATTATAATATTGATGTCAAAACATTAGCTAAAAATGTATTACACTCACATCATGAAGTCTTTTTCTATAAAGACTTTTTTTTTTTTTTTGAGTTGGAGTCTCACTCCGTCGCCCAGGCTGGAATGCAGTGGCATGCTCACGGACACCCCAGCATCAACCTGCTGGGCTCTGGCGATCCTTCTGCCTCAGTCTTCCAAGTAGCCAGAACTACAGGCACATGCTACCATGCCTGGTTAATTTTTATTTATTGTAGAGACAAGGTCTTGCTAAGTTGCCTGTGCTGGTCTTGAACCTGTGGGCTCAGGCAATCCACTCGCCTGGGCCTCCCAAAGTGCTGGGATTACAGGCTGAGGCACCGAGCCCAGCCTCTAAGGACTTTTTATCAAATTATTTAACTTTGTAATAAATAAGTTTATTAAATGGATGCTATAGACTATAATCAGGTAAATAAACTTATTAAAATTACTAATTTATTGATAAAATCCAGCATCCCTTCTTGATAAAAACCCTCAAACAAAAAGAAAAAAAAAATTACTAATTTTTTAACTAAAAAGGTCAGACACAGGTTTAAGTCCACTCAGCATTCTTTGTTACTTATTATTCTACCTAATCGTTACATGTATAACTGGGGGAGAAGTGTCAAATTATCACAATTGACGAAAGGCTGTTTTAACCCTAAAAACTGAACGTGAATTTTTTTCCATTTTAAGTCAAATATTGTCACATATTTAATTTTGTTTGTTTGTTTCGTTCAGTGCCTGCCAGTAGCTGATTCTTTAAGAAACACTTATTTTCAGACTTCGACTCTTGTTACTGTTTATTTTCACGTAAACCAATAGGGGTCATCTTGACAAAACGAAGAGTACAAGCTTATCAGAAACAAAACACAAAAATTACACAGTATGCAATAAAAAAGAAGAAAGTGGAACAGAAAAAGAAAGGTTTGCTGTTTTGTTTTTTAACAAATGGAAAGCCTGATGCATTGGGAGATTTTCCTAATGATTAATGTGCCCATGAAGCTTCAGGGTTGAATGGTCCAAAGGACATATTTGAAAACATTAATTCTTCCAGAATGGACACATTTTTTTCAGCTTTAAAGTCAGCTACAGATTTGTGATGCCCCAGGACATGACTAGTATCATTCATGCACATGTATTTTCTTTTTTCTTTTCTTTTTTTTTGAGTTGGAGTCTCACTCTGTCGCCCAGACTGGAGTGCAGTGGCCGCTCCCGGCCACTGCAGCCTCGACCTGCTGGGCTCCGGCGATCCTTCTACCTCAGCCTTCCAAGTAGCCGGAATTACAGGCACGCGCTACCACGCCCGGCTGATTTTTTTGATTTATTGTAGAGATGAGGTCTCGCTGCCCAGGCGGGTCTTGAACCCGCAGGCTCAGGCAGTCCACTCACCTCAGCCTCCCAAAGGCGCGGGATTACAGGCTGAGCCACCGAGCCTGGCTGCACATGTATTTTCTTTTAACAATAATATATTTTCCCAGGAAAAACCAAGGGTATAAAAGACAGGAGAGAAGCTGTCATTTCTTAAAATATAATACTCTGTATTCAAGCTAGATATTATATACCATATATTTAAAATAAATATTTCTCCTAAAATATATACGTACGGAAACTTAAATTGTGTATGTATGTCAAATATGTGCATTTTATTCTATTATAACTCAATAAAGTTGCTAAACAGGGAGTAGAAATTTATTTTCTTCTTTAAGCTGATAGCCCCATTTTTTTCCTTTTCTTTTCTCTTTTTTGAAATAGAGACAAGTTCTCACTCTGTTGCCCAGGCTGGTCTCAAATTCCTGGGCTTAAGCAATCCCCCTGCCTTGGCCTCCCAAAATACTGGGATTATAGGCATGAGACACCTTGCCCAGCTGAATCCCACCGTTCTTAACCCACTTTCCTTTTCTTCTCTCCATAATTTCATAGCAAAATTCCCACCTTTTCCATTTCCTAAGCTCGTGTTTACTGTTTAACCCATTTCAATCTGGATTCCATCTCTGCAGATATTTGAAAAGGATCACTGCTGTCACCGACGACCGACATGTCAAAAATTAGTCAACATTTTCCAAGCTTTACTGTCCCTGGCGTCTGAGCAGTGCTACCAACACTCCCAAAGCTGCTGATACCTTCCTCCCTCTAGATTCTTCCTTCTGTAACCACTCTCCTGGCTCTCCCTCTCCTCTCTCTTTCCATCTCCTTCCTTTGCTGTTTCAACCTCTTCTCCCAGCTGACTAAAGGCTGGCATTCCTCCAAGCTAAGGCTCAGGCCCTCCTCTCTTCTCATTCTCTAATTCTGCCCTAGACAATCTCATCCCTTCTCGTGATCTCTGGGATCGTGTTTCTGAGGACGACTATCATCTCCATTCTGAGGTCCAGTCCTCTGTACCCAGTGACATATTCAACATCTCAACGGAACACATGACTGTCCCTCACAAGCCGGACCTTTCTCTAACTCCCCTTCTTCACCTCATTAGTAAATTCCTACGCATTCTTCACTCTCAACTCCATTTCCCCAAAGGATCCTTCCCAGACCTCCCAAAGAGGACAGCGTACTTTTGTTTCGTGTTTTTACTCCATTTGACTGTATGCTCCATGAGGACAAGGGTTAATCCCACCCTGCTCACTGTTTATTCCTCTCAGCCACAGGGTCTGGCACTGGTTTGTATTTAACTGTTTACCGAGTGGAATTACTAAAGAAAAACAAAATGTAAACATTCACTTTGGTATTTTTCTATACAACACAAAGTTCTATTTTACTGGTTTTCCGATTTTAGACGTTCTAGCCAATTACTTAGAATGTAGTGAGTTTAATCGTATAAAATTTGCAAATAAGCAAGTGAAAAGGGCTACAGAACTGAAAAGTATCTCTCAGCATATGCGCAATCCCACAATTAAAGAAAGGACAACTAAACAAACAAAATTAAAATCAATGGCAACGAAAACTAAGTTTTATCAAAAGAATCAAATTACAGAAATATTTTAAGAAAAGCACTCAAAACAGTGGGCTCAACCTCGGGTTGGCAATCCCATGTTAATAAAATGTAAGCCAGAACCTTTTCCTACCTAAATTACTATTACATTAGTCAATGTACCTTTTTTGCATTTAATCCTTGGCATCATCTCTCTTGGAAGTCTTCTCCAATCTGTGTGTATAAAAGAAAAAACATAAAAATAACAGTTTCCTCTAGGAATTGGTGGGCATAACTACTTAAAGAACACAACAAAAGTTGTCTAGGCAATGACAATACTTTTTTTAGTATCTGACTGAACAGATTTAGCCTGAAATATAACAAAATAAAACAAAATTTAACAGATAATGAAATATTTGCTCTTTATTTTATAAAGACAAAAGTTTAAAATTTGTTGGCAATCAAATTTTACAATCATTCTTTGGGGATGTTAGGATTACAACTAGTTTTCTTAAGTATTTGCTTATTTGACTACTTTGTATAAGTTTTCTGTAGTTGACATGTATTTTTTATATAATAAAGAATTTTTTTTCAAGGTTTCAGAAATGTGACTACAATCCCAACACATGTCAAACTGAAATAGTTCGAATAATTGTCTGAAAACTTTAAAAGTAAAAGTATCAGTATCTGTGGAGAAATAAATTCCCTCCAATATATGATTTTGACCGTATTCACTAAATAATTCATCCACTATTTCACATTCTTTTAATTTTTAAGAAGAGTTAAGCAAAAAAAGGAAGCAATATAAAAATGGATTTAAAAATTGCCTGCTAATAAAGACAGTTTGGTGTTGTATACAATTTGTACACCACATTTAATCTCAAGTCATTTTGCCTGAACTAATACATTTTGCTTGGAATATATTTCAGTTTTTGTAAACTCCTCATTGAAGATTATGAAGGTGTATGTAATGACAATCATTTGGGAGATGATTATTAATGAAGTGGAAGAAGTGAGACACCTACAAGTGTTTATGGGGGCACTAACCCTCTCAATGAACAACATTGAAACGGCAGAAGACTGTAACCCATGAAAGCAATAATGTTGTGAATGCCATGTAAGCTTTTACATGAGGGCAGTTCCTAGAAAACACTAAGGACAGAGACTAAAAGGAAGTAAATTCAAATGAGGAGACCTGGGTTCCCGTAGCACTGGCCGAGTGACCCTGACAGGTCACTCTATTTCTATGGCAACTGATTTTTATTTATAAAACGATTGAGCTGGATGAGTTCTCATTTACAGCCCCTCCTACCTCATTTGCATCCAGGGTAGAACTCTCGAACACTGAAGATAAAACCCTCTTAGGTTTAGTTCTGTTGAAAAGGCATCGGGACAACTAAAAATAGCTATACCCGCTTTAAAAGAGGAAGAACCATGTGCTTGGCTTAAAATACCCTTAAAACTAGATTTTTGCTTTCTCTTCAAAAGCTCTAATACTGTTCAGAAGCACAGAAATAAGTGTTCTTTGGTGCTATAAATTAAAATTGTGATTGTGGCGGATGAAACTGGAAAATCCAAAAGGGCTTGGCAGGTCCCATTTGGATAAAAAATTTATTTTAAGAACTTCCACAAAAACACTTCAACTCTTCTTTTTACTGTATAAAAATCTTTTCATCTTAGTTACCAAAATCTTCACATTACTAATTGATTACAGGGAAAGAACCAGACTTGATATTCCTTTGGTGAAAATAGAAAACTTACTCTAAAAAGAAAAAAAAAAAATGGGGTAGGGAGATAGCCTTTGCAAATGATTTTAATATTGCCTGTTTTACAATTTACCTGGTATCCAGTCTTCTTTGTATCCCTTCATATATCTTTTACTATATCTTTCAATATCTAGGGGAAAAAAAGAATAAAGAACTCATTAGGGAAATCAAGAATAAACCAGAATTTAAGCCATTCTTTTATCATAACTGAAAATATCAGATGACGTCTTTTATTTCACCAACAGGGAGTTTCCTACATTTGTACATAATGTGTCTCTGAACACATATTGCAAAGTTCAATGAGAATGACATGCTTAAGAAGGTAGTACCTACTAGGGTACCATGCTCACTATGTGGTGGTTCACACCGTAATCCCAGCACTTTGGGAAACCAAGGCAGGAGGATTGCTTGAGCCCAGGAGTTTGAGACCAGTCTAAGCAACATAGCGAGACCTCATCTCTACAAAAAATAAATAGCTGGGCATGATGGCATCTGCCTGTAGTTTCAGATAATTGGAAGGCTAAAGTAGCAGGATTTCCTGAGTCCAGAAGGCTGAGGTTGTAGGGAGCCATGATTGTGCCACTGCCCTCCAGCCTAGGCGACAGAGTGAGACCCTGAGTCAAAAAAAAAAAAAAAAAGGAAGGGAAGGAAGGGAAGAGGAGGAAGAGAAGGAAGAGGAAGAAGAGGAAGAGAAAGAAGAAGAAGAAGGAGAAAAATAAGAGGAAGCAGCAGCAGAAGCTGAAGCAGAGAAGGAGGGGCAAGAAGCAGCTGGGTGTGACAGGCTGGGGAGAACAGACGTATTATGGACAGTTATGGTTCTTAGAATGTAGCAATCTGACTCATCTGTGAGAATGTTCACAAAAGCCCAGCATCACACCAGGAAGCCACCTGCATCCAAGGTCTACTCAGCATCTTCTATTTTATCCTCTGGCATTGACCTCCAGCTCCCAATCTTCGAGCCTGGTGTAACCAGGATATATTAAGTCCCTAAGAGGGCTGGAGGGCTGTCTGCTCACCTCCAGCACTTAATACACAGCCATTTATTCCCTTTAGACCCTTAATGAGCTCCTCTTCCCACCACTGGGGAGGAGGACAGGGAAAGGGGAGGAGTAGAGAAGGGTGAACGTGGGGAGGGATGACCTGTCTGGGGCATAAGTGAGTAAGCTATAGGTCTTCCGTGCCAACTACAGAACTCTGCAGGGACCCTCCGAGCTGGCTACAACTGGGAACATCACAGCTGTCACTCAGGGACCCCATGAGCTGGCTACAACTGGGAAAGTCACAGCTGTCACTCTTGCTTCTGATTTGTCTGCCTTGCCACAAGAATTTCCCTTGATAAGGGCCCAAATCCCTTTCCAGAAGCACAAGCTGGCAAGCAACACTGTCACACAAAGAAACCATGTTTATCATACAGAGTAGCTTAGGAGCTGAGTCATGAACAAGGGAAGGTAATAAAAGGATGAATATGTAAAAATTCAAGTGTCATTTTTTATAAAAATGAACATATGCCAATCAAATGTATACTGATTTTTTCCTCTATGTCAAGAAAGTGCTTCCAAATAATACAACCATGTGTTAGAAAAAGATAACTAAATCAATAGTAGATCAGAGACCAAGAGACCAGGCTTTTCTAGGTATCAGGAAATTCAAATCAAAAGCACAATGAGATACCAACTTATATCCACTAGGAGGGATAAGATAAGAAAGACATCGCGGGTTCGAGACCCGCCTGGGCAGCGAGACCTCATCTCTACAATAAAAAAAAAAAAAAAGAAATCAGCCGGGCGTAGTAGTGCATGCCTGTAATTCCTGCTACTTGGAAGGCTGAGGTGGAAGGATCGACGGAGCCCAGCAGGCCCAGGCTGCGGTGGCCGGGAGTGGCCACTGCACTCCAGTCTGGGCGACAGAGTGAGACTCCAACTCAAAAAAAAAAAAAAAAAAAAGAAAGAAAGACAATAACAAGTGTTGACAAGGATTGTTTGACTTCTGGTCAAATGTTTAATCTTGTCCTCAAGTTTTTGTGTGTCAAAAGAGGTCAGCACAAATGAGAGACTCCCAACATGTAATATAATGACTTCTCTTTTAGCATTTTCTCCAAAACAGATTCTGTATTTTGAAAAATTTTAACCCCCAGTATACCAAGAATAACATTTGTCATTTGGACCCAATGTATCATTTTTTAATATTTCAAAATACTTTTAAGTTACTTTCAGATAATTTACAGGAGAAGAGAGACTGAAAACCAACTATTGGAACCCAATTAAAAGGGGTAAAGGATTTGAATAGACATTTCTCCAAAAAAGATATACAAAGGGACAAAAAGTAAAAGAAGATGTTCAACATCACTAATCATTAGGGAAATTCAAATCAATACTTCAGTGAGATTTCGGTTGACACCCACTTGGAGGGCTAACATAAAAAAGACACAAACAAGGATTGGGAAGGATGTGGAGAAATCATAACCCTCATACATTGCTGATGGGAATGTAAAATGGTACAGTCACTTTAAACAGTTTAGCGATTCCTCCAAATGTTAAATATAGAATTACCATATGATCCTAAGTAAATACCCAGTACAAACGAAAACATATGTCCACACAAAACATGCACATGAAGGTTCATAACAGCATTATTCATATAGCCCCAAAGGGAAACTGACCCAAATGTCCATCAAGTGAGGATGGAGAAACAAGATGTGATATGTCCAAAACATATAAATCTCTAGAGCAGGAAACAGATTGATGGTGCCATGGCCTGATAAAAGGGGAGAATAAGTGGCTATCTATGTATGGGCATAAGATTTCTCACCAGGATGATAAAAAGATTTAATGATTTTGAAAATAATTAATATGCCAAACTCCATTTATTCAATACCAGACTTTGTGGTCATATTGTAGATAGATTCATAATTTCCATTAAGTTTTTTTTTTTTTTTAGGTCAGGGTCTCACTCTGTCACCCAGGACAGAGTGCAGTGGCACAACCATGGCTCATAGCAGCCTCAACCTCCTGAGTAGCTGGGACTACAGGTGAGTGCTACCATGCCAAGCTAACTTTTTGTAGTGACATGGTCTCTCTAAGCTGCCCAGGATAGTCTCGAACTCCTGGGCTCAAGCAATCCACCTACTCCTGGGCTCAAACAATCCACCTTCTCTGGCCTCTGTTAAGTTTTGAAGTTCTGAAAATGGTTAATGGAACCATTGCCACTGTCATGTTTCTACCTCTGAGGACCCCGGGGTACCAGAATTTGGGCTCAGAACCTCTGGACCAGATGGTCTCTATATTTCCTTGTGGCTAAAATTCATTAAAGTAAGATTCATTGGTGTTTTTCCTTCATTATAAAAGTAAGTTTCATTGCAAAGAAGATCCTCATCATTTCTACAATTCTACCTGAAAACATTATAAACAAAATTTGAAGACATTACAACGTGCAATATGTTTCTTCCATGTCCCCCATTCATTGTTAAAGATCGCAATGTCCTGAGCCACCAGCCAACTCTCAGGAAGGCCTGAGATCTCCCACCCTGTTTGTCCTCATCTCCAGTGACTTAGTTCCTTCCAATAGTCCATAAGCCTCTCTTTCCTACAGCACAAAGTGATGAAAGAAGGCTGGAGGGGTACAGTTGCATGACACCTCTATCTGGAATCTGGTATCCTCTGGTCCTTGAATACTTCTGCTCAGTCTGGCCAATTCTTTGTCTTTCATAATGAGAGAAGAGATAGCTAGAGAAAAGCTAGGCAGACAGACAGGGCGGGTCCCCCATTAACAAAGTAGTGAACTTGAAATTCTGGCAGGCCTCTTGTTCTGACACACTAGGGTTGGTAAACAAGCTCCCTACAAGCCCTGAAGGCTAGAGCAAGAAAACACTCATTGCAGGGATTGAAAAACAACCAATCAGCTCACCATTAAGTGTCAACCAATCAGCTTATTATTAGGCCCTTACCCTCCCAGCCAATGGTTCTTAATACTGACCAATCAGCACAGCTAGTGCCAATCAATCGGCTCATGGCTAGTGCTAGTCAATTGGCTCAGTCTTAGGGCTATATAAGCACCAGGTTTCCCTCAAATTGGCAACCCCTTCGGGTCCCCTCCTGCTCTGGGAGCTTTTCTGTCTTCTCAATAAATCCTGCTTTCCTGCCTTCCAGCTGTCCCTCATTCCTCCTGGGCACAAGACAAGAAATTCAGACCTGAAGATCTGCAGAAGATCATTGAAACTGAAGAGCCCTGCACCCTGAAGGCTGGCTTGCTAGCACACAGAACTGGCTGAACTGGGAGAGCTGCAGAAGACAAGATTCCAAAGTTGAGACATTTCTGGGGGCTGGCTTGCCATTGGGCTTGGCTTGCCAGTCCATTGAGCTGACACTGGGCTGACCAGATAAAAATCTGTATCAATAGCATGGATATTATGCAAATATTGTGTACATATATGTGTATGTGTATAAACATATATACACATTATGAAAACCTATATACACACATAGAAATGCATATATGAGGGTTACCTTTATCAGTTTGGAAATAAAAAGTGAAGCTCACTATCATGTTCATTTAATTTTACATACCCACACTCTTTGAGGCTGAAGCAAATATGACTGGTTTTCAATGTGAAAATAAAGTATAAAAACTGTTCTTGGAGTTGTTTCTAAACAGAATTTGCCTCTAATCCTAATGAGAATTACTAAAAAAAGAAGAGAATTACTATTTTCTATTTACCTCTCTCTCTTTTTATCTGGTAACTCTCTTTTTTAATCTTGGGGTAAACACTGTAAGCACTGTGGGAAATTATCCTCATGTTAAGCAGGAAAAGGGTTAAAAAAAACAAACCCTTATTTTCAACATTGTTTTTTTGAGACACACTGCATCACAAAACAAATTTAAATATGAAAATCTCTAGGGGAATTTACTTGTATCAATTTGGAAAATTCTACAAAAGAGTTTTCTCCTGAAAAAATTAAAGCAAAAGATCTCTTATATTTTTAAGTACTTTATTGCATAGTTAATCAAAGACAAAGTGCAATCTTAGTCCAAGTACAAGCCAACTGCTTCCACAAACCAACAGCAAAACTATGACCTGTTGTCTCTATCTAAAGGATGCACATAAACGCTTTAATGATTTGATACACTTTTAAATTAAACATGTGCTTTAATAACACTCACATTCAGTTAGGTAACTCTGTCCTATCATCCAGAGAAAAGACCAATCTTAGAAGGATGAAAGTATACCCTGCATATTATTTTGTTTAGTAAGAATGAATATTGATTATTTCATTTAGTCTTACTTTTTTCAAATCATTAAAATGAGAGCTTTAATTTCATTTTCTGAACTCAAATAGATGAAAGCATGTGACATGATCATGGGAGTAAAAAAATTTAGTATTTTTGAGGCAAAATATCTCTTACCATTATATAACTTCAAGCAGCTATGTTTTGGAAATTAAATGAACTTGTCTAAAATGCCTCTGATAATTATAAGCACAAGTATGATCACTAAGGAGGGTTTCCTTTTTAAACCCCTAGTCAATTCTAAGTATTTTAGAGAGGAAAAATGGAATGCATTTTTAATACTAATGGAATGAGAGGATACTATATGAATTTCTCATGTTTTAATGATATTGTTTTGAGAACTCAAAGATGAAATCAACCTCTCTAATTTCAACTATCAAGGGCAGAAACTGAAAAATCAATATAGTTCTACTGTGGTAAATAGCTACTCAAGAATGGTTTCCCTTCCCCTAAAACCATTTCCCACTTCCAGTCTGAGACTGTCAAGCCTTCTCCAAGTGTAACTGCTCTTCTGCCCTAAGCATCACCAATGAATATACATTTCATATACCATATCAAATACATAAATAGTAAACCAAGAATGGCTGTAAAAAGTTTAGCCTAATTATTAAATAATCAGAGACACACATGAAGATTTATGTATAATGACGGTAATCACAGCATTCTGTATATGAGCAAAATCCTTTAAATTTAATAGCAGAGAATTCATTACAATAAATAACATCATATCCACACAATGGAATATCACATGGTCATTAAAACTCCTATTTTCCAAGAATAATAAGAATATGTGAAAATGCTAATGATATGCTACTGAATAAAAAAGGGAAGATGCAAAGTAATATGAATCAAATTTAAAGAATATATACTCAGAAGACAAGATTTGGAATATATAATAAAATATTAATAGTTCTCTAGACATAAACATGGGTAATTTTTACTTTTAAAAAATTTTTCTATTTTTCATAATTTTCACTGAACATATGGTACTTCTATTGTGAAAGGTATTTTAAAATATAAAATATCAAAAAACATAAGTGTTTTTTTCTGTTAAATCAACATAAATATGGTTTTTCAAGATACTTGATATTTTTGATCAAATCAAATCAATCAGCATTAAATGATCACATATCTTTTGCTTAAACTTGTCTCATCTGTATACATTAAAACACATAATCAGAGAGTCCAATACATACCTTGCTTTTCTTCGGGTGTTTCCATAAAATAAGGCATTCTTTTCATTGTTTCTCTCAACTCCTGTTTCAAGGCCAGCATATAATCTTCCTCTTCCCCTGTCTTCAGTGGCACTGGCTTATAATCTGTATCCTGTTTAAATTTAGAGGCAAAGGTATTAAAAATAAGTTAAACATTTTAATATCCCTTTCACCTATATTCTAGAAAACGTCAGTTTTATTGAGATACTATGCTTTGCAGGCATTAAGTTTTGCAATCAACTTAAATGATGTTGAGCTTCTATAATCTTTTGGCCTATTTCCTACTTGGTTCTTATTTTAGAAGTAAGAGGATGCATAATTTTCTTAGTGGCCCTAAAAGCAACATCTATAATCACATTGCCATATAGTCTGTTGACCAGTGTGATTCCATATTTTACAAGGTACCCAAATGAAAGCAACTATTTTGGCTTCCTATTAACCTCCAATACTGGTGGTGATTTGGGGAGGAGCAGTAGGATTAAAAAAGAATAGCAGTAGCTATCACTTAGCAAGTGGTTAGCCTCACCAGGATGTACTTAATATTCAACATCCATTATCTCACTTAAAATCACTACCAATATTTCTTCTTTTATGATCAAGAAGTTGAGAAGGGAATAATTTGTAAGCCCATATGAGTAAATGGCAAAGCTAGAATCTGAAGCTACACATTTCAAGAATTATACAAACACACATATTTGTGTGTATATATTTACACACATATATTCTTTAAAAAGTGGGTCTCCAAGTTATAAAGTAAAGATATTTCCAGTTTCGGAGAATAAAGATAGGGTACGTTTCCAAAATTTGACTCAGGATGTATTCATTCAAACTACAACTATTTACTGAGTATCTACTATGAGCCAGATATGGTTAGATGATAGGAGATACCATGATGAACCAATCAAAGACCCTGTCCACATGGAACTTACATTCTGGGGGAGAAACACACAACAAGTAAGTAAACAAATTAGGTGATATACAATTTCAGGTAGTGATAAGTAACATGAAAAAAATGAGTGTGTAGAGGGAGAGTGACTGACAAGATACATGGAGGTTGGAGGTGCCCAAGTCACAGGGGGAGCATGCACGGTCTCTTGCACAAGTCACATCTGAGCAGAGATCCAAATAAAATCAGGAAGCCATCCATGCAAAGACAGGGGAACAGATGGTTCCAGGAGGGAATTAGCAGGAGCTGACGCCTGAGGGAATGAGGGAACACAGAGGCCACAAGGGAACATGGAGGCCAGAGCATCTGGGGAATAAGGACAGTGGTAGGAACAGGGTCAGTGACATCAGACAGGACAGATCAGGCAGAGCCTTTTAGCCAATAGTGAGGGATTTTAATTTTATTCCAAGTATAAGAAAACATTATGCACTAACAGTCTCCATGGTGGAGAATTAATCTCCTCACACATGGAAGAGAGCTTCTTTCAAAATTCACTGTGAAATGACATGACGCTGATACCTGAGACATCTGTCTTTGTTTTTAGGCTGTACTGAATATCAAAAGGGCAAAATATCCAGAAGAGAAGCAAAGACTCCCTATGTGAGATGTCCAGATCCCCAGAGACACTTGTCCTGGGCCCTCTATTGACATCAATTCTTCAACACAAGATTTTCCCTCTTGAAATAGGGAAACGATTCTATAGGGAAGAGTATCTGTTTATTTCTGATTTTTCATTTTTTATATCATAGTGCATCCACATCTGGAAATATAAGCTTACTTTTTAAATTAAACACAAAGTGAAAACATTATCCATTACGCAAATGAAACTGGCTGCATACTTACTACATTGAAAAACAACACTAAATATAGAAGAAATGCTTATATTTTGAGAAACAGTAACAAAATTAAAAATGATTTTGGTAAAATAGGAAAACAAGCAAAAAACATTCAGTGGGAAAAAAGACCAAATCCCTAAGGATCAGATGAGAAGGAAATCATTAAGTGGAAACAAGGTAGAATAGAAACTGAGAACTGTCATGAAACCTAACCTGACTTTTTAAAATAGTATTTTGACATTGGAATACATCAATATATTGATTTAAAAAAAAGGAATACATCAATAACAGTGATAAAAGATATAGAGTAGAAAAGTAATTATTTTTGGTTCACATACTGAGTATATCCAAGGAAAGGTGTATTCAATTTTATTTTCTGTATCTTAAGAAAGCAGTTTGAAAATTAGAAAAGGTTCAGGGAAGGATAGTGGAAATATTTAAATTAAAGGTAAGTAAAACACACTCTCTTAATCTCTTTTCTTGAGAATATCATGATGATATTACATATTCAAGTCCTATATAAAATTTTAATTTTCTCTGAAAATTATGATTTAATTTTCTGTGAAAAAAACACACTGTGGGGAAGCAAGATGGAGGGCTCGTGGTGAGGCGCTGTTGAGGGATGGACACCGGTGTGCCTTGACGCAGAACATAAGAGCAGCTTCGCTTTAGATGCTGATAAGTGTCTTGGTCCACCATGGCCAGGGCAGCAGGAAAGTGGGTGATGGCAAAGAAGCCTCTCTTGAAGCTATTTCCAACCCTAAACGGAGTTTTATTTTGTGCTTGTCATAAATCTACGTACACTTTTCTACCAAATGATTATAATTGCAAAGCCGAGCTTGTGCTGACATCTGATGGCAGGACGACAGTGTGCCACCACCCTTCCATGACATTCCATATGAACACACAAAACCTATCCCTGGACCTGATCCTGTGCATAACAATGAAGACACACGATCAAGTGCTGTAAGCCAGGTTAGAGGAGAAAGGCAGACACCTTGAGCAGGAACCCATAATAGAGCAGATGAGCAAGATGTTCTTTACCGCCAAGCACTGCTAGTATCCGCAGGGACAGTATCACAGATGTCGTAACAAACTGGACCCTCCAGAGGAAGACGATCCTGAGTATCTCGGGAGTCAGAGAGAAGGTGCCCACTTGCCGTTGAGAGAATGTAGCCTGGTAAATCCATTTATGTGGTATAGTAATAACAATAAATGTCTTTCATGTAAAAAAACAAAACAAAACACACACACACACACACACACAGTAGGAATTTGGCTGTTGATGTACTTACAGGAAATATTGGGGGTGGCTTCAACACTACATCAGGTAACTTTTCACCTTTGCTGAATCCAACGGCCTCAATATTAAAGGTATAAGCAGCACGCCCTCTTCCTTTATTCCCAGCCATCAGGTCTTCTTATACCAGATGAGCTGACAAATTCTGAAAGATATGATTAATGACTAAGATTTATTGCATCATATTAAAAAACCCCAACATTTTAAGACAAAATATAAAACTTCACCCCTCAATTAGCATGGCTGGTTTAAAATTCTTTTGAAAAGTCGGGCTCGGTGGCTCAGCCTATAATCCTGCGCCTTTGGGAGGCTGAGGTGAGTGGATTGCCTGAGTCCGCAGGTTCGAGACCCGCCTGGGCAACTTGGCGAGCCCTCATCTCTATGATAAATCAAAAACTAGCCGGGCGTGGTAGCGCGCGCCTGTAGTTCCAGCTACTTGGAAGGCTGAGGCAGAAGGATTGCCAGAGCTCAGCAGGTCGAGGCTGCGGTGGCCGGGAGCGGCCACTGCACTTCAGTCTGGGCGACTGAGTGAGACTCCAACTGAAAAAAAAAAAAAAAAACCCAAAATAAAAAACCTCCCCCCCCAAAAAAACCAAAATACTTTTGAAAAACAAAACATGTCAAGAAATAAACACATGACAGCTGATTGCTGAAGCCCCACACCTGCCATGTTGGGCAGGTGAGATGATGATGGCCTCAACTCACTTCCCCAGGTCCGTGGGGGAGGGCAGACCCTCGGTCTCCTTTGAGATACTGCCCTGACCATTGCATGCCAGTCCCTGCAATTCCCTCTACCTCTCTGTGGTCTGGCAACAGGATCTCAAATATAATTTATGTAAAAAAAAAAAAAAGTAGGGACATGAAAAGCCTGGGCTGATGAGAAGAGGACATCTTGCTTTTTCACATCAACGATCATTAGTCATATATACTTTACAATATTATATGATTTTAATATTATATGATTTTAATATTATAAGAAAGAGATTGGCAGTAGTGGGAAACTGCCAGGGAAGGGAGAAGCACACCTAATCAACAAAGGTGCCTGCATGGTGAATGTTTGGATATCTAACCCTGAATTGTACCCCACATCTTTAATAAAGAAATTTTTTTAAAAAGTTACATGGTTTATTTATCCTCGAATGTATATTAGAATCCTTGAGATCTAGTTCAATGTTCTCCTTTTAGAAAAGGACACAGGATCAATAAGACTCCAAAGATCTATCCAAGAAGAAAAAAGTTTAGAGAAAAACAGCTGAAATTGTAAAATTAAAAGTAAGATAAACCTGTACTCTCTTCAATTTGGGGGACAGTAGTGATATCACATATCCAAGTCCTACAATGAACTTCTAAGCTGGCAATGTAGAAATAGGGCTCCTCCATAGGACTCTGCATTCAGCTGTAGCTGAGGCAATTTATTCAATATAGGTTAGACATAAACAAGCTTATTGCAGGTAGTTTTAAAATAGGGTAAGTGTTCAGACACTTTTTCTTATTGGCACCAGATCTGACCACTCTGCAGGCTGGAATGTGGACTTGACAGTGCAGCCCACCCTTATGGTTCATGGTAAGCATAATAATAAGTGTAAAAGTATATCAAGCTCTTGTCAAAAGCAAATGCACATTCAGGAAAGCCCAATGAAGGTGGAGAAATGGAAATCAGCCTACCTTTTAGCCCATGGTTAGCATAATAATTGCCGTAAATGTCTATCAAGTTTCCTGTTAAAGACAAATGCCCATTCAGGAAAAGCCCACCCCCTCAACTCATCAAAGGTGGAGAGATGGTAAACGAAACTCGGCGTCAGATGCCTGCAGTCCACCCTTTAGTTCATGGCTAGCATAATAATCATTGTAAATTAATATCAAGCTTCTTGTCAAAATTAAAAGTACATTCTTTCTCTTGAGATGCCCATGCCCATTGAGCATGCTCTTCTCTTTCTCTCTAATAAATTTTATCTTAAAACTATACTGGATCTGCTTTAAAATTTCTTTCTGTGGTGGGTCAAAGAACTCATGGAGTGTCACACTGCACCCTACCTGGTGATGAATACACATTCTTGACACCCCTTTTCTTGTTGACAATACTGAGCACCATTTAACCTTGTGCTCCCAAAAGAGTAATCTCCATCCTCCAAAGAACTGGAGGAAATTCGGAGTAGCTTTGGTTTCATGCCCTCAGCTCAGTCTCATTTATGAATCTAGTCACTTAGCTTCAAGACTTCACAAACCACAACACTTTACTCAGTTGCTGGATTCTTCACCAGGGTTTCTTGCCAGGGTAAAAAGATAATTCACCTTACTCCTCAATTTTGCCATGTTAATGGTGAAGGAATACCTACGACCGATAAGGGGCTACTTCTGTCTATCTTTTTAACTCCTTATAATTTGCATATGGCAGTACTTGGGTCCAAAAGCCTGGACAACCCCTGTTCATTTCATCATAAGGACAACACTACCAAGCAAGCAGTTTTCAACCCTAGCTGCCATCAGAATCACTTGGGTAGCTTAAAAACTAGAGCTGCAGTTCTCACAGGGTGCTATCTGCAGCAGTGCTACCCACGTAGAACTTGGTGGCAATGCAAATTGTTGGGCCCCACCACATACCCAAAGAAAAAAGAAACTCTGGAAGTATGCCCAGCAATTGTGTTTTTAAAAGGTTTCCAGGTAATGCTATATGAAATTCATGCTAAATTTAGCATGAATAGGTTTCCAGGTAATGCTATATAAACTTCATGCTAAAGTTTGTGAACCACTGAACTGAACCAATCAAGCCAAGGTCTCTTGGAGTAAGGATCAGGTAAGAGTCTTTTTGAGAGCTTTTCAGTTGATTCTAAAACAAAGCAGTGTTAAGAGCATTGGGAGAACTCTTCTGATAGAAGTCTTAACTACTATGTAGTTGTTGGGTTAAAATGCACATGCAGAATTAGGGACTTCATAGGTCCTATCTTTGAAGTTTGAAATCATACAAATTATCCTTAGTGATTTCTTTTAAAAATTGCCTTCAAGATGAGATATCACTATAACTGCTATAAATCTAAGTAGCACTCAGGATGTGAGAGTCCAAGTTTTAATTCATTTACAGAGAACAGTAGTACCACGGCACTACAGTTTTAGAGGTCTAATGACTGCCAATTTTAATGTCCTTCTACATGTAAGGCTCCAGTTACACACACAGAATCAAATCATATATTCAATATCTTTTGTAAGGAAACATTGTTTCCTCATTTCTGTGAATTACTCAAGTAGGATGGTATTTGATTGTATATAATGGCTATGATGCTGAGAACATTTTCAGATAGTATTTTACATTATACATTTTATAAATTCCTCCTTCCATGCCTCCATATTTGAAAGTTTTCCTTCACAACCACTTGAACATGAATAGTTGACTGGTTATCCTTAATGCTGCCATTTGAAACTACTCTATGACTTTTTCAACTTGTACTTACTTTTACTATACTTACACATAAATATATAAGTAGAGAGAATAGTATGATAAACCCCTATGTATCTACTACTCAGCTTTCACAATTATCAATATACGACTAGTCTTATTTCACCTATACTATTCTACTCCCATGACTCAGATTATTTTAAACTTCAGTATATATCTTCTCTAAGAGTTACAGACTTAAAAAAAAAATCAAGTAACATCTCATCTAAAATGTTAACAATAGTTCTTTACTATCATCTCATACCCAATCAGTATGCAAACGTCTTCAGTTATCACATAAATGTTTTTAGAGTTTGTTCAAGTCAAAATGCAAAAAATACATACATAACATTTGATGGACATGTCTTTTAAATCTCTTTTAAACTGTAATTATTCCCTTTCCTTTTTTCCCAGACTGTTTATTTATCGAATAAACTAGGTCATTGTCCTGTGTACAGTGTTTCTCAAACTTTAAGGTAGAAGTGAATGACCTAAAAATCTTGTTAAAATGCAGATTCTGATTCAGTGGGCCACAGGTGGAGCCAGAGAATCTGCATTTCTATCAAGATCTTAGGAACCATCAATGCTGCCGGTTTGCAGACCACACTTGGAGAGTAGCAAAGCTGTACAACTTCCCACATTCTGGATCCAACTGACTTTATACTTGAGATGTGGTTTAATATATTCCCCCGTTAACTGTAGACTAGAGTTTTACTTTGATTTTTTTTTCTGACTGCATCACATCAAGATGCACATGAAGTCTCCCTCCTGGCAGTGCCCAGGTTGGTCAGTGCATTCAGGTGCCGTAGGTCTATTGTATTAAGTACAAAGTGTCCATCAGTTTTCTTCTAATGACTTCACCAGTCACGGATGATTATGGTCACATTCATTATTGCATTATGGACTGCAAAATGGTGGTATACAAATTTTATCATTCTTTCTGTTTTTATTGGAATTCTACCAGCAATCAACTTCCCTCATCCACTATCTGGCTACCTTAACAACAAAGTTCATACAGGAATGGTACTTATTTTAATAGCCAAGCTCATTCCATCTGTCCACACTAAAAAAGAGGGAAAATATCCAAATGGTCTTGTTTCAATTGCTGAGTCACTAAGGCACATGCTGAGCCTAGAGAAAGCAGATCTCTCCAATGATGGAAAAATCCAAATTCTGCCAAAATATGTTTAAGGTTTATGCTTAGCCGATATGAGTGACAACAGCCTGGGGTACAGTCCCAAGAGGTCTTGAGAACATGTGCCCAGATTATTACACTTTGGTTTTATACATTCCAGGGAGACAAGAACTGCAGGTAAATTGTAAATTAACACAAGAGAGGTATATATTGGTTCAGCCTGAAAAGCCAGGACATCTCAAAAAGGGGGGCAGTGGTGCTAGGGAACATTACAAGTCATAGTTGGGCTTTAGGGATCCTAGTTGACATATGGTTGATAGAGTTAAGCTACTGTCTAAAGAATAGAAATCAGCAGAAAGCAATGGGGTTAAGTTAAGGTGGAGACCAAGGTTCTCACTATGTAGATGAAGAGTCATAGGTGTTAGCCCTTAGAGAGAACAGATGGCAAATGTCTCTTCAGACTTTCAGTTAATCCCTCCTGGATCTGGAAAGGTCTAGAAGGGGAAAGATCTGGCTATGTTAATGAAGATACGATGCAAATTTTTTCCCCACAAATAAGGGCTTTGCAGGGCCATTTCAA